AGAGACGGACGGCAAGAGGTGAAAAAAAGCAGACTTTGGGAAGGAATCTGAGAATACTGAACCAATGTGGACACAAAGCCTGAAGAGGATTCCTATCCGAAGACGAGGTGCGTCGTCTTCCAAAAACTAAAAAAAAAAGTTGGACAGGAATACGGCCTTCCCAGATGAAGACATGGATACGATGGCCCTTGTGGATCATATCTGCGCTCTTCTGAGCCATATTTATCTCTGGACGGTTTCTCTGCGGGGTTTGAACTGTTTGTCGGAAGAGTTTTCATTCAAGAAGTCGAAAGGCAGGGTGCGGTAAAGTTGGTTTTATGTTGGACATTCATTCGACATTCGTCGTTTTCTTCGGCATTCATTTATATGTACTCGCGTAATAGTCATGGATCATGCTGTATCTTTTTCAGATCGCATTTAAAAGCATAATATAAAAATGAATAATAATATTGTTCGATGGTGTAATTGTTTTAAGCATTAGAATTGAAAAAGTCCTCACAGCGATCCCCATTTGGGCACATTAAGTTAAGGAGAGTCTCATAAGTGCAAAATCCACAATAAACTTGGTTTAATATGGCATTATTCCATAAAAACACAAAAAACATGATCCTTTTACATGTGTAGTTTATTTTAGCTAAGTATAGTATTTTTTATATACTATATTTAAGTATAGATTAAGACAATGTTTTACTTTGGTATGATTAATATATCTGTTATAAATCTGTAAACTGAATGTCTTAATGGAATAAATCTATTTTATATAAATGTAACTTTGTGGTTGTTTTATCTAAAGATCTCAAATCACCTACACTGAAAAAAATGTTTCATTCATCCAATAAAAAATGTTTAGGGTAATGATTCAAATCTATATTTTTTTAACTTGAGCCAATGAAAAATAACTTGCCCTTAGGGCACATTTTTTTCAGTGTACAATGTATTTATACATACAGTGGGTACAGAAAGTATTCAGACCCCCTTAAATTTTTCACTCTTTGTTATATTGCAGCCATTTGCTAAAATCATTTAGGTTAATTTTTTTTCCTCATTAATGTACACACAGATTTTTGTATTACCCGATGATGTCACACCAGTTGTAATATCTTCAGTCAGTCCTGACACACATCATACACAACTTGGATTTTGGAAATATGATTTTGTGTATTTTTTGGTGAAGTTTTGAAATATTTAAATCTATATAACTTCCTGGTAATGTGACCTCATGTTGCCACACCCACTGCATTCATAAACATCTTTCATACATTGTACATATTTTTTTTTCTTTTGAAAATATATTTGTTGTTTTTAGACAAATATTTGAATTATTGAAAACTTTTTAACTTCTTGGTCAAGTGACCTGATATTGTTACACAAGGCTGGTTTATAATCACAAACATTTCTCATACAAAAATATTTACATTTCGATATTATTTGCCTATCAAACATTTATTTTAGTACCATAGCTATTTTATGTAGCCTATTGTTAGTCCTTGTGTAATTTGGTGGGCCAGTGGGAGGTAGGAGGTCCGATGAGGGAGAGGGATCCCTGAACACGATTATTACCGAGGGCCGGGGGAGACCCCACCCCACCCCGAACGCAATCGCTGAGGGGGCACGAGTCAATATGCTGTTCAGGGGGCCCAGCAACCATAGCGGCGCCCCTGCGCACAAATAGGTTGTGGAAAATGGCATCAGTAGGCTACTGCAACGGCACTGTTTGCAACAGCTGGATAATCTTTCTCCACAGTTATCCAAAAACTGTCCAAAGCCATGTCTTGAAATTTCATTTTTAAACTGCGATCTTCCATTAGTTCCGCAAGTTGTTCTTGCACTTGCAGACAGTGGCATGCCTTTTGAACTGTCCAGTCCCGATGAACTCCAAGGATCAAGGACCCAGTCAAACTCAGCATTAGACTCAGCTGGAAAATAAAAGCTGAACCTCTCCTGTAGGAATTTAAGATGCTGGGCGATAAGATCAGGGAGTTTGCTGTTTGAGTGTGCTTTGCACAAGGGAAACATATCAAGTTGGCCCTGTTCAACAAAAGAACGCCAGAGGGCAAGTTGCCTCCCAGTGAGTGTCTTTCTCTTGTGGGTTTTGTGCTCTGACTCTGCTAATGAAGCCTTTCGTGCTCCCCGTCATGGCAGCGGCTCCATCAGTACATACACTGAGACATCCCAGATCAGATTTTTTCCAAAACCACACTTTCAATGTCTAAGGACATGTCATCTATTCACCTGCTAATTGTATTGTTTGACAGGGGAACCTTTGATATTTCTTTCTCAGCTTGTGGGCCTAGCATGGTTTAACGATGGCTTTGCATGCAGGCAAGATTACAGTCTCAGCGATTGTGTGGGGTTTTTCGATTTGGCTACTATTTTAGCTACAAGATAACTGGCCTTCAATGCTTTCTCTGACATTATTGCACTCTTCATCATAACTTCCTCTTGTTTTTCATGTTACCTTTTTAATTGTTTCAATTATTCTGTATCCTTGCTTATAGTGATGGGTGATTTTTTTTGTCAGATGCTATTTTAGTTTGCTAGGAACCATTGCTTCATTCGACAGTCTGTCCACACATACCAGTCACCGAGGAAGAGGACATGATGGATCTCCGATAAAGGATAAAGGAAGATGAAGCTGATGGTCCAGAAGAATCTTTAGGATTAATTATTAAGGATAAAACCCATGCATACGCTATAGGCATACTGACTTGCTGACAGGTCAGTGAGGGGGTCGAGAATTATGAATTTTTTTCAATGTGTGTCTTATTTAAGACACCAGATATTTATGATATATATTAAATGTTTTATACACATTTTAGCATGTTAGAAAAGTTTGAAGAATTGTTTCATGGCTCCCCGGTTGGAAAACACTATTCTAATGAATGTCCAACATAAAACCAACTTTACAGCACCGAATGGTGGAGATCTTTCATGTACAAATGGACTTATTATTCTTATATATTTTCATAAAACTGTAAAACTAGAGATGGTGTGAAATGGATACCCTGATTTGTAGCCTACATATGCTTTTTTAACACGTAGGCCTAGCCAAATAAATGAATTGCAAAGACTTTGCAACCTATTTTAGACATGGAAACTTAACTCAGCCATGAAAAATGACCTGGAGACCAATTTGGTAAAAAAAAATAGAGAAGTTATGTGAGTTAAGATATTTTTTTTTAAGAAAAACTCTAGAATAGGTGGTTTGCAGGTATCACTTGCTTGATATTTTGTATCTAATGCAGTGAAATTAATTTAAAGGGTGACATAAGTGTTCAAATACTTTTTAGGGGCCACTCTTTATATTTTATTCTGAGGACCTGCAGTTGCATTTAGATTATTTGTAATTATACTTCGGAGCTGTTGAATGCTTGAATCTGATTGGCTGACGAACGTTGTATGCAAATATTTTCAGAGAAACGCACGGCTAAAGTAGTTCCAGACAGATATTGACCGCATTACATGTCTATGTTGACTATTTTAAAGAAATGTCAAACTTTATAAGACATTTAAATTATTATATTTAAATGTAGTTAAAGATTTGCGCACAATTTGTCTAGGTGCTATGTAGGCTATTAGTGATATGTAAAACTATAATACTTGTAGGCAACACTTATCAAGTTATCACAATGTAAATGTACTTACTGTATAACTCAACTTACAAAGTCAAAGCAGTTGAAATGTTTAATACTTCCTGGCTGATGTTTTATGGTGTTTTCAGAAGCAAATTAAATATAATCAAGACTACAAAATAAACTGCTTGCATGTGTGTGATTGGTCCCTGAATTTTTTGGTTAGTGAAAAAGTATAACACGGCCAGTCTAGACTCTTGAACAAACAACACCTATGAGCACTTTTTTACTGAATCAAACATATTAAGCGCAACCACTGAGTGTGGCCTGGTTCAGGAACAAATGATTCTCAAGAGCCAATTTTTCCCCCCATAGTGAATCAAGAACAGCACGACCAGCGTAGTCTGATTAACAAACAAATTACTTTCATGAACTGGTTCTTTTCAGTGAGTCGTTTGCAATAAAACTAGTTGTGTGGACAAAATACAATATAGTAGGCCTATGGTATGATTCCGACATATTATACGTCATATTTACAGCTGCAT